TTGTCCCCATCTGTGTGCCCCCTTACATTAGCTGCCCCCATCAGAGTGCCCCCTTACATTAAATACAAGAATAAGGGGGCACTCGCAATGTAAGGGGGTACTCTGATGGGGACAGCCAATGTAATGGGGCACTCTGATGGGCATACCTAATTATTATTATTAGGGATGCAACGATACTGGTTTTTCGGTATTGAGTAGGAGTACCAATATTTTTTTTTCCGTACTTAATACTCAATACTGAATACCGATATGCATATGTGGGCGCAGATTATCAGGAAGCCGGTGTTCTATCGGAAGAGCACCGGCTTAACTTCCCTTGTGACACTGCAAGGAGGCATGGTTTCCTGACCAATCAGGAAGCTGGGTGGCATGTCATGACCCGCCTCCCAGATTGGTCAGAGAGCCAGGCTGCCTAGCAGCAAGTGAAGCCAGCTTCCTAGAACCAGGAAGCTGGGTGGCACATCATGACCCGCCTCCCGGCTTCCTGATTGGCTAGTAAGCTGGCTTCAGGATGCGAGGCAGCCTGTCTTCCTGACCATTTAGGAGCTGGGCGGCAGGTCATGACGTGCCGCCCGGCTTCCTGATTGGTCAGGAAGCCATGCTGCCTAACAATTAATGAAGCCAGCTTCCTAGCCATTCAGGAAGCGGAGAGGCGGGTCATGACGTGCCTCCTGGTTTCCTGATTGGCCGGGAAGCGGCCTCCATGCACCCTTGCAGCACTGCCGGTCAGAAAGAGAGCTCCCTCTGACTGGAAGTTCCAGTATTGGGGTATGTATCGGAGCATTTGGGCAAGTACGAGTACTCGTCAAATACTCAGTATTGGCACCGATATCGATACTAGTATCGATATCGGTGCATCTATAATTATTATCCATCAGGGTGCCCCTTTACATTGCTTGTCCCCATCAGAGTGGCCACTGGCACTCTGACAGTGGCAACTAATGTAAGAGGGCGCTCCAATCAGGGCATCTAATGTAAGTGGGCGCTGATGGCAGCACCTAATGTAAGGGGGAACTCCGATGGGGGCAACTAATGTAAAGGGGGCACTCCGATGGGGGCACTCCAATAGGGCATCTGATGAATGGGGGCACTCCAATGGGGCAACTAATGTATGGGGGCACTCCGATGGCGACAATTAATGTAAGGGGGCACTCCGATGGCAACAATTAATGTAAGGGGGCACTCCGATGGTGACAACTAATGTAAGAGGGCACTCCGGTGGTAGCAACTAATGTAGGGGACACACCTATGGGGGAATCTAATGTAAGGGTGCACTCCGATGGCAACATCTATTGTAAGTGGGCACTCTGATGGCAGTAACTTAAGTAAGGCGGCACTTTGATGGGGACACCTAATGTAAGGGAGCACTCTGATGGGGACACCTAATGTACGGGGACTCTCTGATGGGGACATCTAATGTAAGGGGGCACTCTGATGGGGACATCTAATGTAAGTGTAAATGTACTCATTTTACAACTATCCTAAAATAATATTTTTAAATGTTATTATTTTTGCACACCAATCAAATTTTATTGGTGAATTTTATCTATATTTGGAAATGGTAACATCTCCCAGAAAATGCTATGGATATTTATCTTTAAGAACAAAACAAAACATTTATGTAATTTATTTCTAAGGGTTCTTTTACTTCGCAGAACCTGCCTTTCCAATTTCTCTGCTGTTCCTGTTTGCTCAAACCCACATCCTTCTTCTGCACATTCTTCTCCCTCCCTCCACAGTTCTGTCCGTCTGCCTGTCCATCTTCAACAGTGTCATGCCTCTCTTCAATCTGGTATCCACCTCTCTTTTTGTCTCTTCACACCTCAGGTCATTCCACAGACCTTCACATTAACTATTAACTGACACTTCAGAGGATCTGGCTTTCTTCTGAGCTCAGCAGAGATAATTGCTCTTTTAAACTTTATGGCCAAAAGTACGGGGACAACCCTCAATTTTACTGAGTTCAGGTATTTCCAGTGAATGGTGCTGGTAATGCTACAGACATTTTAGAGATATTTTAGAAATTTTACAAAGACATTTCAGACAATCGTGCAATTCCAGCTCTGTGCCAACAGTTTGGGGAAGGCCATTCTCTGTTCCAGCATGGCTGTGTCCCTGTGCACAAAGCCAGTTCCATAAAGAAAAAGTCTGATGAGTTTATTGTATAGAAATGTGTTTGGCCTGCAGAGCCTTGATCTCAACCCTAATGAATACCTTTGGAATGAATTGGAATGCCAGGTCTAGCAAGGTCATCTCCAACATCAGTCCCTTTTAAACATGCACACATACTTACACACACTTCAAAATCTTGTGGAAAGCCTACCTAGAAGCGTAACATTAATATTTCCCAAAATGGACGCCAACTTCTTATTTATGCCCATTTTTTTGGAATGGGATATCAAACAAGCTGAAATACAGTCCATGTGATGGTCAGGTATCCACAATCTTTTGTCTATATTTTCCAAGGTTTCGGAGATTTTTTTCTGAACATCTATGTTAATGAAAGAGAGTGAATTTGACGCTTACTTAAGCTGGCCATACACTCTGCAATTATCGTTCGATGACGTTTATGCCGTCATCGAACCCCTTTTCGATTTCCACACGACTGCCCCATCTTGCACAGACCAATGTCGTTTTCGTTAATCGTTCATTAGCAATACTAACTCACCAAATTTTGTCGATTGACAGAACAGATTTTTGTTTGCGCATGTGCAGTGTTCTTGCAATTTTTTTGCGATTTTTTGAAGCTGACAGCCTTTTCTCCATTCAGAGCGGCTTGTAACAGGTTACACAGAAGGGAAAGCCTCCCCGTTGTGTAACTTGTCATGGATGGAGCGCTCCCTGTTAATTACAGGCAGCCCTGCATCCGGCTTTTGACAGCTATGTTATTTTACACAGGGCTTCCCCACTGCTTGTGTAACCTAACAAAGTGAGTCAAGAGCTGCAACAGCCTCTACTCTATGTTAGAGGCTTGAGCTCTATGGATAGTTTGGACCAATGGCAAAGCGCCATTGGTCCAAGCTGTCCAATCAAAAAACAAACAAACACTGAGGGCATCGATCTGACTGAGGGCATTTTAGGGTGCTCTCCTTTGAGGACTACTGTAGGGGCCTATTTATAAAGCAGAAAATGTGACTTTCATGAACAGAATCAATCACATTAAACACATGCACCTGGATAGTTCTCCACCAAATAATGTTTGTGAAAGTCACATTCCCTGATTTATAGATAGACCCCTAAATGCTGCTACAGGTAAGAAAGTTAGGTGAAGCCAATACATACATAAAAAGCCAATAAACAGAGGCAACCAGTAATATTAGGAGGTAAACAATGGCAGCCATACTAGTTTTCTCAGTATGGGTTCCTTTAAGCATTTAGATATCGTAAACACAGTTTATCAATGCTAGTCCAAAGTGCATCAAACTTAGCAAGCATTTACTAAGCATTTAACAAGCTCTGAGTAGATCTGCTAAAGTCCTTAACGCACTATTCGGCTTTAGCATGGGAGCACTGAATCTTAAACGGAGCCCTGGCTGTAGCTTTAAACAAACTTTTAGCAAGCTTTTTGCAATTGCAGTTAAGTGTGAAAGGCAAAGTTTAACTATATGGACCTCTTCACTCCTGCATATGTGTCTTTCCATGCATGCATATGAAAAAGTGTGATTCCTGCCTTAGGCACCTACAGATGCTAGATCAAGGTAGGCAACACTGTAATTCCAGCTGTTGTAGAACTACAAATCCCATGTGGCATTGCATTCTTTGAAAGCCACCGGCATGACTCCCAGAGGCATGATGGGATTTGTGCTTTCAACACAGCTGGAGTCCTAAGGTTGCCTGTCCTTGTGCTAGATGGTTCCTGTATTGTGAATGATCAAAAGGTTATTGTACAAATATATAGTTTCAAATTGAGCAGACATGCATGACTAACCCTATGTAGGAGAGAGGCAGAGGACACTGTCAACTTAACTCCAAAGAAGAGTAAACAGCCAAGCTGGACTTTCTTTCTCTCCCCTAAACAAGGCTCAAGGAAGGGCTGCCTGCCAGGTGGAGGAAGGTTTTCAGGCATATAACAGTTCCCTAATCCAGCTATAAACAGATTGTATCTATGGGGACCTTTAGAAAGGTAAACCAGAGTAACATAGATACCGATGGAAAAAATACTTACCTGCCTCAACTGATGTCTACGCCTAAATATTTGCAGTTGTGATTTGTCCTTAAACTGCAAAACAAATACAAATGTGCATATACACATACATACCTGTATATGTACATATAGTATACTCCACTGTATTGTGCAAAAGGCTTAAGCTGCCCATACACCTGACGATTATCGTACAATAAAATCACGGTTGATGGGCAGCGTGCGACCGCATTTACTGTACGGTCGTACGATTTTCGTATAAAAAGCACGCTAGAAAACCCGCCGAAAACCGTATGATTTTCGGCAGGTTAGTAGCGCGATCGCAAGACGAAAGCCGCATGACCCAAGGTGCGCAAGCGCACACTGCCCGCTCACCATTGCAATCATCATGCAAGCCCTTCCCTCAGCGGGGAGGAGTTGCTATGATCGCAAGTGCGGTCTGCCTGTCCATGATGGGCAGGTCGTATGAAATTTTAATCACCTTACAACCATCGCACAAGGAAAGTCGTGCAATGGTTGTAAGGTGTATGGCCACCTTTTCAAATGCTAGTTCACCTTTAACGTTAAAGCAAAAAATATTTATTCAGTGCTGATGCCTTTTTATAGTGCTTCTCAAAGAGCACTGAACTATTATTTAAACTAATTTATCTATCTATCTTATTAAATGCCATAACATTATCTAACGATTCACCACGTCTGTTGATACCTGCTGAATAGACCATAGAAACCAGCAATGAACTAGCAGTAAAGGGTTAAGTGAGACTCCCGCCCCTGGGAAGGTTGTGTAGAGCACCTGCAGCGCAGGTAATACAGGGAGGGGTTTACCTTTAGAATCACTGGAGAGGGGGAAGAAAACGGATCTGGTTTCTGTGTCCCAGGCATACTTTCTAGTACAGATTGAGTAGAGTTGTATCTCTGTTAGAACTGGTTGCCTTGTAAGGGAAAAAAAATGAGGCTTCATTTAGGGAAAACCATCGTTTCCTTGCTGCTATGTTTTCTGGGTGTACAGAGCTCTGAAGCTGATATTCTGTGGACAGCCAATGTGAATTTATCCTATGTGGTGGATAACAGGACTCTGTCAGAAGAGGGAGAGATTGGGGTCTACGGCCATGACTCGCCAGTAGACAGTGCGTATGGATTGGTGGTTCTGCCAAAGCACAGGAATTCTAATTATGCATGTCCACCCAATGCGAACTTCAGTATTCCACAGAACTGGAATGGACCATGGATTGCGCTTATACAGCGAGGAGGGGGCTGCACCTTCAGTGATAAAATCAATGCTGCTTCTATTATGGGAGCCAAAGCAGTGGTCATCTACAACAACATCAATGGAGAAGACAACGAGGTCATTGAAATGTCACATCCTGGTGAGTTTCAAGACAACCTTTTATATACAATCTGTATGTACATGAAGCATGAAATCAGCAACAAAAAAACAAGCATTGCCCCTTACCAAGCATTCTGGAATTTGAAGCTTAATAATCCAAAAACACAATGTGGGAATTTATAAAAAGTGGAGTAGAAAGAATCCAGAGCAGTTACCCATGGCAACCAATCAGTGTCCTTTCAGTTTGTTCTGTTTAAGCTTTGAAAATGAAAGATAGAAGCTGATTGGTTAGTTGTCATGCACAGCTGCTCCAGATTTCTTGTTTTGTTTTTTTTACTCCAGTTTTGATAAATTCCCCTGAATGCGTACAGGGATCACATGATGTATGTTTAAGTGTAGTAGAAACAGACCGCTAAAAAAAAGTAGAAAATGGATATGTATGAATAAATAGAGCAAAGATTACACACCTGCACAAGCATAGAAGAGACAATTAAATCATAATTTCACTTGAGGAGATGGAGGCATGTTTTGGATGGGTGGTAATGAATCCCTCTGAACATTGGCAGTTCTCAGATCTTGAAGATGTAACTGGTGAGAATTCTGTCTATGTATGGTCAGAGAAATGGAGTGTGGCCTGGAAGTTTCATTTGGTCTGTAAGCGTAGACTTTGATATAGTAATTACTGAGCCATCCGCTCATTTTGTTACTGCCGGTCCTGATAAATAATGGAATATGTGATATTTTATTAAATCTGTCAAACAAAATGCTTGGCACCTTACTTTTATTTTAGAATAACAAATTGTGTCTTAAATGTGAGCACTATATATTTATTACAGATATTTATATAGGGCCAATAATTTACGCCGCGCTTTACATACTGCACATTCACATCAGTCCCTGCCCTCAAGGAGCTTACAATCTAGGGTCGCTATTGCACACACATTCAGGGATGATTTAGACAGCAGCCAATTAACCTTACAGTATGTCTTTTGGAGTGTGGGAGGAAACATTTGAACTGGGGAATCCCAGTGCTGGAACGCAGAAGTGCTAACCACTAGGTCCCTGTGCTGCCTTAGGAAGTAAATGATCAATTTTTCCTCTAAGTCTTTACAATATATTTCATCTGAAAATGTTTTATGATTTTACTGTACGTAGTTTTTTTTTTTTTGTTTTTTGTTTTTTTTTACTAAAAGGCTGAAATTCTTTTTATGTGCTTTCTGAATTTGGGAAGATTCAGGATATCCCGAGTCCATTTAAGAGGCCTTGTATCTGTTTTTATCTACATAATCCTGTGTAGTGAATGAGTACACCTTAATTTTGTCTCTTTACATAACAATACCTTCTTAATCTCCCTACATGTCAATACCTCCTTAACCAGCACCTCATTGTCCTTGTACGTTTACCAAGGAAAGTTTTCCCAGCACTGCAAGAGTTAAGTGCTCGTTTTGTCTAGAGTGCTAAGATAACAAACTTATACTCACCCAAACAACGATACTGGCCTTCTCTTAACCTCCTTGGCGGTATTCTCGAGTGTGGCAGGGGTTAAATTTCATTACCAAAAGCGGTAACCCCGAGCCATACTCGGGATTACACAGTGCCATACTTACCTTGTCCACGAACCCCGCTGTGTCCTCCGGCTGATGCCGGCATCTGTCTTCCGGGTTCTGTCCCTAGCAAGCAGGGGCGGACTGGGCCGGAGGGCAGGGTGGCAATTGCCCCCCGGGCCTCTCTGCTGCCTTTACAAACGGCCCCTGCCCGTGGCCGTCACTGGCCCCCCGCTAAAAGAAGTCTTGGGCCGCCAGTGCAGAGTACAGAGCCGCTTACAGAGTACAGAGCCGCTACAGATGCGGCTCTGTACTCGGCGGCCGTTCGCTCCTCAACGATAGACATGCAATTGCCGGAGCGGAGGGGGAGTGAGGCTGAAGGGAGTGGTGCAAGGGACAGCTGGGATCATGGTTTAGGTGAGTATAACTTTATTGTAGTTCCCTAGACAAAACATGCACTTAAAGTGACATTAAAGGCTAATTCCCCCCCCCCTCCCCCATGCTGCTGTAAGCACTTACCTTAAGTGATGCCTCTTGATCCGCACATCTTCTTCTTTACAGTGGTTTTCAGTAGTCCCTCCAGCGCTGTTGCCGCTCACTGATCCCTGTTTTTTCCTGTCCCATGGAGTGTGTATGGCGTGCATACTCCCAACTGCATGCATTTACGTTTCACTGTAGCTGTCCTCCTCTGCACGCCTGTGATATCCACTGCGCATGCGCCCGCACACATCCTCCTGCATGGCCACTCGGGAAGCTGGATTTTTATAGCCCGGAGAAAGCGGCGGAGACGGAGGCAAGTTTTTACCTATTTGGTAACTTGTATTATTATTATTATATTTGCTTGCTAGCAGTAGATGTATGTAAAAAAAAAAAAAAAAAAAAAAAAAAAAAAAAAATCAACAAGATTTTAAATTCAATCGTTTTTATTGAGAACAATAAATTTTCCAAGATTGGTACAATACAGATAGGCTCATCACATGGTATGTGATATTAAAACACATGTAACATATATCATCTACACCCTCATGGCATAGCGTGTCAACAGTACCTCTACATTGTTCTCTATAGCAATATATATTGTAAATCAAGCAGGAACAAGGTATCAACGGAGGGGATAGATATAGTAAGAAAGGGTAGAGGAGGATAAGGGAAGCCAAGTATCTGGAGGATGCATCGCACATAAACCATTGCATGAAATTTTATAGAACTGATTGCGGATTCCAAAAGGGGATTATTTTTTGGGATAAATGAAGCTTCCACCTCGCACCACTGTTTGCCCATATCCGGCTGGAGCCAGGCCTGCAATGAGTCGAGGAGGGCCGTATAGTAGTAGTCCCTTAGGTCAGGGACCCCCAGACCTCCCACGCGTTTGTTTTTTTTTCAAAAACATTTTTATTGTGTTGACAATTTCAACAAGTGTTTACAACATGTTTTGCATGGCATCATCAACAGTTTTCCATCACCCGTTTATGTTTAATGAGTATATAGTGAGCGCACCTAGCTCTCTTGCCTTGCCATATGAAGCTGCGCATCAGAACATGTAGGGTAATAAAAAAGCGGGCTGGTAGGGGTATCGGCAAGGTGCGGAAAAGGTAGAGTATTTGAGGTAGCGCCATCATTTTGAAGAGTGCTAGCCGGGCTGACCAGGACAAGACATGTCTCTGGTATCCCTGGAGCTGTGACCGTATTCTGGATACTAGAGGCAAGTAGTTGAAATCCTAAACCTGAGATATCTTAGCAGTTAAAGTAGTTCCTAAATATGAGATTCCATTAGTGCACCATTAGAAAGGGTACCGAGACTGTAGCAGGCCTTTGGTTTTAGGAGTAACTCCCAAATCCAAAATCTGAGATTTAGAAGCATTTACCTTTATAGTAGGACACCTCGCTAAAAGTATTCAACATTGACCAAACCGAAGCCAGGGAAGACACAGGATTTGTAAGCAATAGGAGCACATCATCCGCAAAGAGATTTATGGTGTGGTCGTTTTTCCCGAACTTGAACCCGGTTATAAGAGGGTGGGATCGGATGGATTCGGCTAAGGGTTCTATGGCAAGTTTAAATATTAAAGGGGATAGGGGACACCCCTGCCTAGTCCCGTTTGTAATAGAGAAGGGTGCGGAAAACGCGTCCATAGTAAAGACCCTGGCTGAGGGGTTGAAGTAGAGGGCTAAGATGGCCGATTGTATCCACCCACTAAAGCCAAACTTATGAAGCACTTGATGAAGGTAGCCCCAGTGGACGCGGTCAAACACCTTTTCAGCGTCTAATGCTAAGAGAAGAGAAGGTGTATCGGAGCCCCCCGCGTGGTGTATAATATTTAGAGCCCTACGTGTAGCGTCTGGGGCTCCCCTACCTTTGATGAAGCCAGATTGGTCTGGGTGTATCAATGAAGGTATAATATCCTGAAGTCTATTGGCTAGGATTTTTGCATACAGTTTTATATCAGTATTTAAGAGGGATATAGGTCGAAAATTTGCTGGTGTCACTGGGTCCTTCCCTGGCTTCGGGAGAGTAACAATGGTGGCAGACAGCAATTCCCGGTGGGAAAGAGGCAGAGGTAGCAGCCGCGGCAAACATCTTCGTTAGGTATGGTATCAGAATAGTCGCATGACACTGGTAGTATTCGCTCGAGAAACCGTCTGGGCCCGGTGATTTGTTAGCGGGAAGAGATTTGATAGTCTTAAGTACTTCGGCCTGTGTGATAGGGGCATTAAGTTGCTGAAGTTGGGGGGCAGTTAGGGCTGGGAGGTCAAGGTCATGTAAGAACGAGTCGATTTTGTCCGCTGTCGGTTGGGGAGTCATGACATCATCCTTGAGATTGTACAGGGCCCCGTAATAAGAGCTAAACATGTCGGCAATCTGCTGTGGATGATGGACCTTGTGGCCGTCAGCAGAATGGAGGAGGTACGGCATTTTAGTTTTACTACGCATGGTCTTGATCCGGTTAGCCAGCAATTTCCCTGCTTTACTACCATTGGCATAGAAGTGGGCCCTATTGATAGAGTTTTGTTTATCAAACCGTTCCAGCAGTAACATACGGAGGTCATGTCTAAGCCTTGTGAGGGTGGTCCCGTCAGTGACATTTGGGTTCGTTTTGTTGCGGGTTTCCAGAGTCTCTATTTGGACTAAAAGATGGTTCATGCGGCTGGACCTCTGCCTCTTAGATTGAGCGCCCAACTTCATGAGTACCCCCCTCATATACGCCTTGTGCGCATTCCAAAGGCTGTACGCACTTTCCACTGAAGATTCGTTTAGCAGAAAATATTCCCGCAGGGCTGCTTGAATCTGCCTCACATTCTGGGGGACAAGCATTAAAGGCACGTTATTCCGCCACACAAATACATTGGAGGGATTACAGTGGCTCGCAATGGACAAGGAGATCGGTGCATGGTCCGACCATGTAATGTCATGAATAGTAGATTTAGATATGTTAAGCAGGGTCCGCTTTCCCGCCAGAAATAGATCGATTTGGGAGTACGAATTGTGTGGGGAGGA